CCAGCATTGTTTGCACAGGCCCCTGCCTCCCTTTGTAAGAGTGGCAGTGCAGACAGGAGACAGTGGCACGTGCCCTTGTTAAGCAGGAGTGTGTATCTCAGGCCAGACATAACTCAAAGAGAGAGATCCGAGAGTGAAAAATGAACTAGAAGGAAGGGAAGAGATCATTTTATGAGAAGAGAAGAAGGGTGCACTTTATGAGGACAGAGGCACTGTAAGCAGAGAAGGAGCGACTGATAAGCGGCTTCACAGACTGTATTTTTGCTTCATGCAGGTTATTAAGGGAAAAAAATTGAAATGAAAAGGATCAATTCAGATCAACTGCTCTAAACAGCATTTAATTGAAGAATATCTAACACAGCCTCTTCAACCAGACTGTGAGTTGCCCAAGAACAGCAGGGCTCAGGCTCCCCCCACCACTTCTAGATTAGCCAGGAGGGGGCCACTGCTGGAAAAATAACTCCAAAACCACAACATATTATCACAATAAAAGTTGATTTCTCATTCAGCGCAGCCCCATATATCAGTTTTAGTTTGGGGTAAGGATAGAACTTTGCTCCGTGTGGACATTCAGGGAGATTGTTGTTTTTCAGTAAATGCCTTTGAATGAATAAAATGGTTAATAGAAAATATTTACTACATACGGTTACACACGTCAGATAACCCAGAGTTATAATTAACCGAATTCCCAGAGCAAATATGAAAGGCTCGTAGCATAAAAACATTCTCAACCTCACCAATAATCTGTGACACAATTAAATAACGAATAAGAGGACTCTGATCCTAGTTAGAATGTAGAAAAGTTAGAAAAAGTCTTGCTCCCACCCTTACAATAACAAATTTAAGTGGATAATCTACGAAAACCACAACTCTTTCTAAACCCATTAGAGAACTAAGGCTGCAGAGCAAGCATCTAATGAAAAATCTAAGGAAAGAGAGAGGACCCCTCCAAGGAGAGAAAAGCACTTGCTTATGTGGGAGCAGATGACAGACACTAAGTTCCCCACATGAAAGAAGAATTCAGCTAAAAGTTTTAATGGATTTCTCAAGGCTAATGTTGGACTAGCATAAAAGTGTAGAGTCCCTGGGAGTCTCAGCCACAAGGAGAGTTTGTGCGTACTTGTAGGTACTTCTCGGTGGGCCTCATTGGATGGTTATGAGAAAGACTGGAGATGGGGAGACTAACCATTGTGGGGCAGACATGAAGCTCTGTCTGGAACCTTCCTTAGAGAACAATAACCAACCAACCAAATAAAAAAAAAAACACAAAACCAACCAACCAAAAAAAAAAAAAAAAACCCTCTAGTGGAAGAGAAGCAAATTCTGCCGTCTTTAGGACTCAGAGGAAGACCTATTAAAACGGAGGGAGGGAAGAAAAAGTTGTTCTACTCTTGGAGAAAGGGTAGAAATAGGTTCTGGGAGCAGAATGTAAAGCAGAATGCAAATTCTACACGTGAGGGAGGGACGGGATCAGAGGTGACAATCTCACCCGTAAGATGTAGGACAAAATGCCTACCAAAGACTGAATGATGCTGAGTCAGAACAACAGGAGCTCCCCCATCACTCCTCCTACCACCTGCTGCCGACTGCCAAGACAAATAAGTACCAAACAACAAATCACAGCAGTTCGTTGCTAGGGGATGATCAACAGTACATAAAAAATATCTTCTTAGGTTCAGGTGTGAAGGGAAGACCTTAAGATAATGGTATAGATAGCACTAGAAGAATTTCAAAGCATGCGGTGCCCTGAGAGTAAATAGCACCAATAAATCTCAAACCCATCTCTACTCCTGAGCAGATCAATTCAACAAGCATGGTAAGATCATCCATGCTCACTTCGAGGTATAAAGACTCTCTGCCTCAGTCTCCACCATCACAGATGGCTTTCAATAAAATTTGTGAGGCATGCAATGAAGTAGAAGGAAAAAAAATCTGTCAAGAGACTAATCAATCAACAGAAATAAAATGTTGAAACTATCAGGTAGGGTATTTAAAACAGATGGACAACAAGCATCTTTAGGTGAGCAATTTCAGGAGAAAAATGTAAACAAGGAGAAAGAATGAAATGGAAATACTAGAAATGAAAAATACAGTTGTAGGGATGAGGGAAGTCTACGACAGTATCATCAGTAGACTTGACACAACCCAGGAGGAGATAGATTAACAAAATGGAAACACAAAAGAGAAAACACTGAAAAGATTGGAATATCCAGGAGATATGGGACAATAGCAAGTAGTTTAAAATACTCATAATTGGAATCCCAGAAAGAGAACAGAGAGAGATTGAGGCATGAGGAGTATTTGAAAAGAGACAATGGCAAAGAATTTTTCAAAACTAATTATAGACAAATAACCACAGACCCAAGAATCTCAGAGAACATCAGGCAGGGTAATAGACTTTTGGCAAAAGTATAAAGCAAATAAGTCATGGAGATGAAAAATGCAGCATAGAGAGTATAAGTCGATAATATAGTCATCATGCAGTATGGTGACAGATGGTTACCTCACTCATGGTGAGCATCCAGCAAGGTATAGAATTGCTGAGCCAATATATTGTCCATCCAAAACGAGTATAACATCATATGTCAATTATACTTTAATAATGAATTTAACTTTTTTAAAAAAGAGTGGTTAGGAGCTTGGAATTGGGGGAAGAGTTGACACTGTGTCCTATCTATTGATTTTGTACTGGTAAGACACTTGCACGCATTGGTAAAAACCCAAAGAACTTTGCACTAGCAACTAAAGTTTACTGTATGAATATTATACCTTAATTAAAAAAATGGAAGATAGGTACTACATAGGAAGATAAAATTGTGGAGGTTTTTAAAGACTCTTTTGATTGTGATTTTTGATTCTTCTGGAATAAGCAGCCATTTTTTTATACTAAATAAGATGAAACTTTTTGTAATGTTTGTTTATTTTTGAGAGAGAGAGAGAGAAAGAGGGGGGAGGGGCAGAGAGAGAGGGAGACCTAGCGCAGAGCCTGACAGAGCCTGATGCCGGGCTTGAATCCACGAACTGCGAGATCATGACCTCAGTTGGACGTTTAACTGACTGAGCCATCCAGGCACCCCACGATGAAACTCTTTTTAAAAAAGAACCACAAACCTGGATCAAGGATTTTATTTTTTTTAATTTTTTTAATGTTTATTTATTTTTTAGACAAAGAGACACAGAGCGTGAACGGGGGAGGGTCAGAGAGAGGGAGACACAGAATCTGAAACAGGCTCCAGGCTCAGAGCTATGAGCACGGAGCCCAACATGGGGCTCGAACTCACAAACTGTGAGATCATGACATAGACTCTTACATAAGAGGAAGAAGGTGAAGACGATGAGTATGTAGCTCAGAATACAAACATTATTTCTGTGTGAAGCCATCCTGATCCTTAGGGTCCATAGATCAGGTCGGAGGTGGAGGAAGTTTCAGCAGTTGGCGACATCTTCTCTGCATGACATCCGTTCCCCAACTAGCTGAGCGGCGTATGATCTTGATGACTTCCCTCAATCTCTCTTCAGTGAAAACTTCAGTTTTCACATCGCAGATGGAAAAATGGGATTCTAGAACTTCTAACTTCCTTCCAACTCTGATTTTCCCCAAATGCCCAAAATGATATGAATGCTATTAGGTTGGCATTGTGCAGGATTTTTTTTTAAGTATACACATTACTCTTGGCATCTAAGCCTCCCTCAGAATAAAAGCGCCAAGGATTCAGAAACGCTTCGATAACAGGTGAGAGAACCACTCATTATCTTCCCCAACTGGGTCCAACCAAAAGGCAGATCCGTGCACAGCCCTTTTCTAGATCAGTTGTTCACACGAACAGCCCCTGCGGCCCTCAGGAGGGAGGAACACCTCATGCCATTCTTCCTCAACTTTCCGACTCGCTCCCTCCCCAACCGCATTGCGCTCCAACCCGGACCGGCCTGATTCTCCATCAGGGACATTGACTGACCACCAGTATCATTTGATTGATTTCACCTTTCTTCCCGTTTTTTCACGTTAGGGAGAGTGATAAAGAAGCGCTCTCAACCATCTAGACTAGGCTGGAGATTAATGACACAAATACACAAAGCACCAGGAAGCGAAGTATGTGATCAAGAAATCGATTTAACGTCCGTGTTTGGATAGCCTCTTCCTGCCATTGAACTCACAGTCGCTGAATGATTCTTCGGCCAGTTCTGAAGCACAGCGGTCTGCTCGCGCACTTCTCACGCTGGAATCCATAGGCGGGGCACGAGAGCAGAAAGCATGGCTGGAGAGCCACCAAGCTGTTGGGCCTTGAGTAAAGTGGGCTCAACCAGGCAGAAGCCGCGATCTGCAGGGCTAGAACCACATGCAACAAGCTGTGTCTTGCTGCAGATTGCCGGAGGTGACTTATTTGGCGGAACACATTAGAGTGCTATGAGTTCCCGCTCAGGGCACCAGTTCTGAATCGACTCCCATCCTTCTGAGTTACAGCAACCTCCTGGGAAAAAGGTTTAGCAACCTCAGCTAGAGAATGTCTGCGGCGTGCACCCTCAGCAAGTGTACCTGAGCAGGGCACAGCACCGTTCAACATGCCTGTTCTTGACCCCAGCCTTCCTTTGTCAAGGTCGCACCCAAACCACAAATGCAAATATTGCTTGGGGCCTGTGTGCTCCAACCTGACCTGCAAGTCACACGTTTGCTTTTGTTTTTTCGTATTATTTTCTTTTCTTTTCCTCTTTATTTTTTTAATTTAAATCCAAATTACTTAATATCTAGTGTAGTAAAGGTTTCAGGAGTAGAACTGAGTGATTCATCACTTAACATACAACACCCAGTGCTCACCCCAACAAGTGCCCTCCCTTAATGTCCATCACCCATTTAGGCCACCCTCCCCCCCCAACTCCCATCCAGCAACGCTCAGTTTGTTTCTGTATTTAAGAGTCTTTTATGGTTTGCCTCCCTCTCTGTAAATGATTCACTTGTAAGCAACGCACCAAATGAATTAGGCTTCTATTGTAGCACTCCTTTAGCAAAAAAAGTTTATTATTTTTTCCCAAATTATAAAAATTATACATGCAAAATATGGCATTAGGGTGGCACAGAAAAATATAAAAAGAAAATAAAAGTATCCATTAACACTCTATTTCCTAGAATTAACAGCTGGTATACCTATCACTGAATTTCTATCATGTACATATATAGCTTTTCTGTATTTGGATTTTATTTCCATGTGCATCGTTAATGGCATCCAGGTTTTTGGAAGGACATTATGCTGGGGTTTTCATATACAAATCAGGGTTGAGTTGTTGTTTCTTGTTTTTCCTGGGCTTGATGACCTTGAAGAAGAAAGAAATGAAGTTAGAGCAGGTGAGATGTAGCTAATTCTGACTTTCTCTCTGCACTGACACTGTCCTCCAACCACCAGTTGCATCCCATTCTCATAAGGTTCTTCTCACTCTCCCCTGTCCCCTTCAATGAATTCCTGTCCTTTGAGTCACCTCCCATATTGGTTGAGACCCTAAAATGAGATAGTCACTCACCCACAGCATGAGTGCACGTGGAAGGGCAGGAGAGAGAGGAAGGAGCAGGTGTACTCAATGCCAAGAGTTGAAGGGATGGTTCTCACGGGGAAGACAGGTGGGAGGAGGGTGTGAGTCTGGAATGGAAAGGCTGGAAGGTTTGAAAGACTCAGAACTGGAGATATCTAAGAGTCTGGGCCTTGCTGTGGGTCTGGATGTGTCAATCTTTGATCTATTTCACTCTGGTACTAGCCTTTGAGGGTCTTCCCACAATCTCACGTGGACAAAGAGTGTGGACTTAGTCCTGGAGGACCAATACTCTCTGTCTGTGTAGACCAGTCTGTGTATCTCATTAAAGGCAAGTTACTTTGTGTTGAGGTACTCAGGGGCCCTCTTGATCATTTAGGTCTGGTGTGAGCTCTGTTTGCCTTCCTCTGGGATAGATGGCATTTCCCCCATATTAAAAGTGATGAACCTGAAGTTTCTGGTGCTTAACTTCACCAGCAGTTAGAAAATCACAGAGCTAGGTTTTGAAAGAAATCGGCCTTAATGAAGCCCAAATTTACTACATAATCTCCCTGCTTTGATACATTCAACTAATTTTGTAATATTTAGCTAGGTATTATATCCTTTGAAGGCTTCTCTGGGGTTTCTCTCTCCAACACAATTCAAAACCTCCTTCTTTAAAGAAAGAAAGAATGATAGAAAGGGCAGTCATAAGTCTTCCACATTGGAAGAATGCTATTCCCCAGAAGTCCCCACCTTGATGAAGCTGTGAGTTACAGATCTCAGCTGTCTTGGATCCCCACTTAGTTCAAAGCAGATGAGTGTGAGTTTATCGCCTTCCTCACAGTTGACTTTGGTCAGTCGTCCATACACCAAGACGTCCATCGTCCCCGTATCATCTTGTATTTCATACAAAGTGATGCATTGATCCAACACCATTTTCTGCAAAAAAAAAATCAGCATGCTCCTCCTCAGAACTGGATCAGGTTCCACGTCCATGAGAAACACAGGGTGTGGGTGGAAACTTTTGTCTCCGACAGGTTAATATGAACTGGAGGTCCGGAAGGAGGCATAGCACATAGCTTAAGATGTTTTGTTCAGAGGATTCTCCTTATGAGTCAGAAGGATTGCCACTAATTCTCATTAAGTGGATTATGTCATTTCAGTCTGTACTTCTTTCCTGTCCATTCTCTACTCCCTCTTCCCAATCTGCCCAAATCCAGAATCTCGATCATCTAGTCCCATTGTTCTAGGTTCCTTCTCTCTCACTGTACTCATTAATTCTGCAAATGCACCTGTGTGCACAGCCACTTACACAGAGGGCACAGGAGACAACACAGGTAGAAGGAAAAAGCTGCATTTCAGGGCAGAATCATCTGTCGATTTCCTACTCTGGTTGTCACAACCAGCATCCAAGTTTGGGAGGGCAATTCTTTATTCACAATCAAGTTAAGCTGTCACTGAAAGGGATGAGACAGAACTCAAACAAAATCATAAGGATATGTGTACTGATAGAAAGTCTGCACTGTTCTGGGCCAGAGTACCTGTGAATGGATCATAGCATCTGCCAAAAACCAAGGATTTGGGGAAATCTCTTTCCGTAGAACTTACATGGCATTGCCTTCGGAAGAGGAATGTGAAGAGTTTTTCTAGCCCTTATCCTGAAGTGGGAAGGTTCTACCCAACTACCCTGGTCATTGGAGCCTTGAGTTCCTGTGTTTCAGAAGTGAACCAAACTCCACTTGGCAAGTTCAGACCTTTAAATTCGGGGGTTATAGATGAAACAGTACAAAACAATGGTGTGGGCTTACCTTATGCACCTGATACGCCCCACTCACAAATGTTCCTGGCTCTTCCGAGCAAAGCTCCTTGATTTTAGGAGTTGCATTTGCATTTTGGATCAGTCTGCTTGAGACCTCCATCTTTCGGTCAGCACTGACATCAGACACAGAAGAGACATCGTACACCTCCAGGAACCCGTTGCGGCCAATATAATCTGCTAAGGTGATGACTCTCTTTGGTATGAACTTGTCCTTCAGGCCGACATGAAAAACCTTCACTCGAAAGAACTGGCTCTCAGTAACCACAGTGGCATGAAACATCTTTCTCTCCTCGTCTGTGATGTCATATGCGAATGGCTCTGTGGCTTTCAGCACCATCACTTCCTTGGCGCATGTCTGTAAACCCTCTTCTCTGGAAGCTTTTGTAGGTACAGACTTCAATCTTGGTTTCTACTTGGAAGTACACATCAGAAAGTGGCCCAGTTAAGAAAGGGAATACACAGTCCTTTCTAGTGACAGCCACCTTAAGCTTAATGTCGAGCCTCCAGAAAGGCTCAGATTGGATGCATTTGGGGGAAAAAAATGAGCTAGAGAGAGAGAGCTGACCTAGTATAAGGTAGCTAGTGGAAGACATGGAAGAATTACATGTAATTGTACTTATTTTCTTCATCGTTTCATGCATTTGGGAGGAATATTATTTTTTCTGTTAAAGGCATTAACCCAAGATAAAACAACAACAACACCAAAACAACATTTCTCTGAGGAGAGCTCTGGAGAGCATAGAGGAAGAGGAAAATAGCCATGCTGTTGTGAAGGGATTCCCATTAGACATGAAGATAAATATATTATCTTAATTTACCAATCAGCATTTTAGTGAGCAAAGTAAGATAGCAGTAAGGAAGAAAATAAATCACCCTAACAGCACTGGCAGTGAACAGCTCTAGTCAGAAACCACAGATTTCATCTGGAACCAGTCCCGGTAGATGTCACAATTGAAAGAGGGAAACCGTGAGCCCTTTTCCAAGAAGGGCTGTGCTAAAAAGAGATTAGTTAAGCAGTCACTGGAGAAGTTCATGAACTTCCCTGATTTAGAAATGTTCTGGCTCCAGACTTGAACAGTAGAAGAATGAGCCTTCTGAAAACATGCTTCCTTGGCATAGAATTATTTGAACCCAATGATTCTAAAAAACAGCAGCATAGAAAAAGCTCTACAAAGAGAATAAAAAGTCCCCTAAATGTTAAAGCTTTAGATCGCAAAGCCTGGATTTGAATCCAGCACCAAGTAAATGCCTAGTGCACAGAAATGTCGTCAGCACTGTCTTTCCATGGTTTTTCAGAGGCCTGTAGTCTGCTCCAATAAACAGATATTTCATGCTTTGTGTTGACCCTGTTGGTGGAATCTTTGTTAGAGGGATAGCCTTGTAAAAGAAATTTCTCCATTTGGGTAAGCCACATATACTCCGTAATCTCACTGACAGGATCATGCTGAGCTATTGCCTTTTAAAACTCAGTTATCATACACTGGCATGACAAGAGTGGGGCTTGGAGGCTGAGGAAATATTGGTTTGGATCATATTTTGAAAGCATAAACAGGTCATTTTCTCTCAGAGTATATTCTCCACTTCCCACCTTGTTCATAAATCATGCTTTTCTGTGCTATTCCCTTCATCATAGCAGAAGTTGAAGGTGATAGTGATCTGTTTCTGGCTTTGAACCCAAAAAGCAAACCGAACGCACACCCTAGAGAAAATTGTTGGGAGTCCCCATGATGAATAACAACAAGGCTTTCATTCTCACCCAATGAAGCACAGACTGAAAGGTCAGACACCTTCTTGAAGGCCTCCTGTGCAGGTGGTCAGACCCCAGGAAAACACTGAGTCCATGGTGTGTTTATGTGTAAGAGGCTAAGGCACAGAAGAGCCTCCTGGGGTCCTGGTGCTCCATGGAGGATTCAGGGCAGCAGAAGGATTCTGACAGGAGGAAAAGTGACTGTGTCCCATGTATAGGCAGATGGGGACATAGAAAGTCACTTCCATAGAAAGTCACTTCCAAGCCAATACTCTACCCCCAAGGGTAGGCAACCACCATGGTCATGTCACGGTGGGACAGAGGTGAGCTAGGCGGGAGGGCATGCCTGCCTGTGCACTTGCCTCTCCATTCTAGTCTAGTCTTTCTCTAGAATCTGAGGTTATTCTCCCATAAAAGGAGAAGGTACACTCATTATAGTGGTGATAAATGCTGGAAAAGAAAAATAAAGGGACTCGTGAAATCGAGCAGAGGAAAGATGTGATGTATTGTTGGAGGCACATCAGTGAGGACCTGCCCGGTGGGGAGGGGAAGCAGTCAGGCTGATGTCTGAAGGTGGGTGTTTCTGGGTCAGTGAAAAGACAGGAGTAATGAATTCCCAACCAGAGAAATATCTTTTGTATACACATTGGACATGGGAGGGAGCCCCTAATGCTGGAAGAGAATCCAGAAGTGTGGTCAATAAGCCAAGAGGAGAGGGACGAAAGGAGACAGGAGACGAATTACATGCAGTCGTTCATTTTTCCTCCTGTGTTCATCTTTAGTGGTCTGACCATCCCCTATTCTCATTCCTGCACTAAGTCAGTAACCCTCTTCAGATCAGGAATTATTTCAAAATACACACTTTCAAATAGCAAAATACACACTTTCTATTACACTGAAAACTCACCACCTGCATTTAATAAGCTAACAGGTGACTTTTGTTATGTAAGGAAATTATACATAGTAGGGAATTGCTGAGAAGCTCTTTCCAGGTCCTGATGATTCCTGTGCTATGTTGTAGAGAGAGGAACAAGTACGGGGAAGAGCAAGACGGTACCTTGGTCGAGAAACTGCTGCCTGGCGTTGATGGAGGCATCCAAGGAGGCTGAGAGAAGGACCCAGGTGACAGGGCACCTGTGACGGAAGGTTGTCCAAGCTGACCCCATTCCGGCATTGGCTGCATCATCTCAAATTTTTCAGTTTTTATGGTTTGGGTTTCCATTTTCTGAAAATAGTTTTTTTCTCCCTGGTTAGTTGTCAGTATCAGGTGAACCACAATCCCTCTCTTCCTTCACCTCTCTCTCTCTCACTCTCCTCTCTCTCTCTTTTTGTCTTTCTGTCTCTCCGTCACACACACACACACACACACACACACACACATACACACACCAGGATCTTCAATCTGGAATACTAGCACATATAGGATACCTCCTTCTGCTCTCTGGTTTGGACCCCAACCAGGGTACAAACATCCCTCTGCAAATTTTAACCACACAGATGATTGAACTTTCATTGGAATGCTAGGCAATTCTAGTTCTATCTCTGCTTCCAAGGGCCCTATGTGAAGCTCGTCAAGACAACACGTGGATCGTGGCCTGGTAGAAAATCCTACCTGGCTCCAATGGAAACGAGTTTCAGAACTACTTGACTGAATTTCGGCATGTTTTCTCCACCATGTTTTTCACAGCCTTATGGTTCAGCAAATAAGCAAATTGGTTCCTACTCCTGTCCTTCAGCTCAGGAAACCCTGTGAATGCTTTGTTTTCCATGCCAGTGAGATTCCCCCCGTTCATCATCCAGAGGCAGGATTCTGCACCAGGCCACCAAATCCCTCAGAGATCTCAGGGACAGACAAACCCAATGAGGATTTCCCCCACGCTGTCCCAGGATCTGGACCTTTATGATTGTTTAAGGAATTGCAGAAAGAGTCTGTAAACTCGTTTGTCTTGACCACCTGTCCTTTTACTAACGAAAGCCCCTTTGGACCATCCTGCATCCGATATGCACGTGCCACCATTTTTATCACTTTTAGCATCCATTTGACCAGTTCATCAAGTGTCACTTGTGGATAAAGTTGTAGATGAGAGAGCTTCTGGAATACCTGCCTCTGGCAGGCGGCTCCTGATTAGAACACCGTCGGACCAACCCCCACGCCTCATTCCTCTTTTGCAGGAGGACAGAGCCTGGCTGTGGAAACAAGTCCACCCATGACTCTGGTTATTCACACATTAGAGGCATTAAAAAAATATTGCAACATCCGCACAGCTACGTGGATTTGGTTTGTGCCCGTGAAGAGCTCACGTGTTCACGCTCTGACACTCACTGTCTGTGTGACCTTTGCAGAATGTGTTTAACCTCTAGGAACCTCAGTTTTCTCAGAGGCGAAATGGCCCTAACAACAGGGCCAACAATGGCCCTGAGTGATAAATAATGAATGCTGTTATAAAGATGACATGAGATCACAGACACAGAGCACACAGGTTCCTGGGTCTAACACACTACGTGGGCAACATAGCCATGTCGGCCTTGTCACTGCTATTTCACGCTCTACTTAGAGATTTTGGTCGGCTGTGATCTGCAGATGCCTCATGTTGTATGTGGGTCCCTCCTGATGGCGTGGGAAATACTTCCCTAAAGTAGCCTCTCTATTCACTTCTGCCATAGGTAGCAATTTATCTCAAGGCAACCTTATCTTGATACTCCCTCAAAATCAGTGACACTGAAAGCTTCTATGATAGCAGTAGGATTTAGATGCTGAAAATATTTTTTACAAGTTTATTTCTTCATTTTAAGTGGAAGAGAGCAAGAATGCAAAGAAAGAGAGAGAAAGAGGAGAGAGAGAGAGGGAACGTGTGGGGTAGGGAGGCAGAGAGATGGGGAGAGAGCGAATCTCAAGTCAACTCTTCACTCTCAGCCCAGAACCCAATGTAGGGCTTGATCTCAGAAGCTGTGAGGTCATGACCTGAGCAGAGATCAGGAGTTGGATGTTCTACTGATTGAGCCACTGAGGCACCCCTAGATGCTGAAAATATTATTTTTATATGCATATTTTTTTTAAATAATGATTGAATTTTTTTTTTTGCTCTCTAGATTTTTCACTTATTCACCCTGTCTAGTTCTTTTTTTAATTTTTTTTTTTAACGTTTATTTATTTTTTTGGGACAGAGAGAGACAGAGCATGAACGGGGGAGGGGCAGAGAGAGAGGGAGACACAGAATCGGAAACAGGCTCCAGGCTCTGAGCCATCAGCCCAGAGCCCGACGCGGGGCTCGAACTCACGGACCGCGAGATCGTGACCTGGCTGAAGTCGGGCGCTTAACCGACTGCGCCACCCAGGCGCCCCTCACCCTGTGTAGTTCTTGAAACATGATGTTGTGAGCTGTTTGCTTCTGGAAACACAGAAAACAAAGGTAATATTTGTCTGCATCTGGTTTTGGGGAAACAAAGGGACAGAACCCACGCTTGAAG